AAGATAGCCGAAGCATTCGTGCGCAACCCTCGATTCTCCATTGTTCTACTGAAAGAGGCGACACAAATCACTGATAATAGTCATGGAGCACGTGTGATTGACGAACTCTGCAGAAAACAAAAAGGAACTGATTCTTCCTTACCACCACGGCCTGACTACCATCGAAATATGATCACTATTCATACGAAATTCGATTCTTTTATGCTGAATTTTACCAATGGAACTGCAGCCAATAACGAGATTGCAAAACAGCTTCATGATTTTGGTTCTTCTTTCTTTACTAATATGATTTTTGATGGATATTCAATGGCAGAACGATCATTCGATGATAATGTTGCCTATCTTCATGATTTATCGCGTCGAGAACAACAAGAAGTAGACAAATGGATAGAGAAAATGAATCAAAAGAGTGGCAAACCACCTGATCATTATCAGCCTTTCGATGAGAAATATCGTAAGCTTATCGGTATCGATGTTGTACGAAATCAAATTCAATCCCTCTGGCTCAAGGTAAATTGCTCGATTTTCATTTAAAATTTTCATATGAAAATGTTGAAATTCAATCGGGTTCTTTTTCATTCGTTGTAGTCATTTCGTTCTGCTCTGCCAAAATTAAAAGAAAAAATTCAAGATGAACTCGACAAAGCCCGCCGTCAATATGATGAAGATCAAGAACGATATAAACTACTTGATCCCCATGTCCTTCGCGATACTTATATAAACTATCTCAATGACTTTCATAAGATTCTTTGTCAATATTATGGTTATAAGTCGGAAATTGATTTTATTTTTCCTCTCGATCGATGTGGTCAGACATACGAGGATATCGAAAGTGGCTATAATGAATGGCAACGAAAAAAAACAATCACCTGGCGGGCATATTTGAATGCCAACGAATTGAAACAAAAATTTCCTGAAGAAGACAAAACGATCAATGCGCATTATATTGGTTCTCGTCATTTTGCACGTCTTCATAATCTCTTTTCGTACATGATTTTACACTTCAAACCACGTGAACCAACCCGAGATTGGATTGAAACAACGGCTGCATTTTTAGCTGCTAATTCAACAGACTTTGATGATTTGGAAAAAGCAGTTCGAGATATTCTTCGGACTCTCATACGTGAAACTTTTCTCATGGGTATTTGTTGGCTGACACAAATGTATTTCTATCTATTGGACATGTTCCGAATCAACGTTAAACGGTATCTTCTTAGCAGTGAGAAATATCCAGCGTTGTGCGATCACAATATGTTTCTAAACGCAGTCGATCTCGAGTATCACATTATTGTACGTACGATGATTCGCGATGCCATTCGTCTCATTCGCGATTTTCGTCAATCAACTAGTACCTATGCACACTATGATGTCACGAAACGTATAGCGAAATTGTTTTTTTCTATTCCACGAGAGATCGATCATGGTGCTTTCGAGCAACCCATTGATGGTATTTTTGTGAGAAATGCAACAAACAATACATACACGAAAGCTACTTTAGCCGATATTTTTAAGTCTATTCCACCACAGACACTTCTCGAGCAAATTTATGGTTCTGAATCATTTTTGACAAATAAGCGAGATTCGCATACATGCAGTCATCATGAAAATGCACGACGAACAATACAAGAGCTCTACACAGCGAGTTGTGGTCGACTCTTGGAAGAAATTCGGTCTAGTTTCAATGCGAATGTTGTAATGAGAATTCATAATTTTGATCGATTCTATAGAGAAAGACACCCAAATAATCCAAATAGACTTCCTCTCTCCTTACGTATCAGTCGTATGACCGAACGACAGATTGGTGAGATGTCGAATGTGGATTTCGATGAGATCAATGACGCGTGTCATAGATCAATTGAAAAGATTCAAGCTTTGGACGAGGCTCTATTGTTCATCGATAGCGCCATTACTGAAATGAAGAATAGTGAACGAGTTCCAAGCGAGCAACGTCGACCACGTGTGGAAGACATCAATCTCAAAAGCACAAGCCATGCACAATACATACGTAAGAAACAAGAAGCTGTCGAGAGTCGTCAACGACAACAATATCGTTCTCAAAGTTCTTTTACTCGTTCAGCTGATGAGTCCAATGAAACTCCCAATGATCATATCCTCGATGACGAACAGCAATTAATGACTCTTCGTGATCCGACATCAGTCAGTGAATTTCTACGTGAGATCTACCGTAGACACGATGAGGAAGATCTGAACTATGGATTTCTCGAGAATGATTCACGTGATCAAGATAAGAATTATTCTCCTGCACATGATCATTTGCTCGTCGATCCGAATTCAATGAACTATGATCAGACTGTGTTACATTCTACGAGTATGTTCACTTTCACGTAACTCTCTTTCTTTTTTGATTTTCTAACGTATTTAGACAACATGAATGGTTCTTTCGAAAAAATCACAAGCAATGGCTTTTTGAATGCGACGTCTGCTAATGATAAGCAACATCATTTGAAACATCCATCGGTATTACCAAACTCAATTGTTCTACCCTCTATTCAGGATAGCGTTTCGGCCGATGATGAAACAGATAGTATGAAAAAGCAGCTCGTTTTAAATTAGGAAAACGATAAATAGTGAATTATCTTCAATGAAGAACACACTAGATATTATATCTTGTTTTCAAAATTGAGCATTTCAGTAACACTTAAGCTCCCCCTCTTCCTTCAGCAATGATTTCCCACTTAGAATGAGTCTTAAGAGCTGAAAATTTCAGAGATGAGTGATCATGGAGAGATACGCCTCTGGTAAAAATTTCAGCTCCTGGTCATACTATACAGGATTTTCAACTGATTCATAGGCCATTTTTGGCCTTCAGAACAATCTGGATAACTTCGTCACAATACGAGGTATAGAGCTCGAGGTGGTTCCAAATTAAACTCAATGTCAGTACGCAACGTTTCATCAAGCAGAATTTTTAAATTCCATATTGTTCATTTTTTATGAATATTTTGATAGGCATTTCTTAAAAAAGCATAAAAAACAGCGATCTGACGACAGTAAATTTCACTTTTCTCAGCCCATGAATCGATTTAAAAAAAAACTGGTTGACGAAAAGTTTCCTCTCATTGAGACCTTTAAAATAAAAAAATATGTGTTATATCTTGAACCGTGCGTGAGTTATCTTAATTTTTCTGAATGTAAACTATGTTCTGAGAAAAACGAGAAAGAAGTTTTAGAAATGGAGTTTTTCATCCAAATGCAGAAAATAAGGGTATATTGATGATATCTAGGTGGAATTTTTGAAAGCATGCAATAGATGGCGTAAGCTAGCACTACAGGTTGTACTACATGATACAAGAATGTTTATTCCATGCTGATAGAAATAAAAAAAGTAGTCTTCCCAAAAATAACAAAAACCACGAAAATCTCTCCAAAAACCGGGTACTGAGGTAGAAATCTCCTACGAAAGTCTGTAAAAATTTGGTCTTTTTTAAAAATTTCTATATATTCTGAAAGAGGAAACTCCGCTGCATCTTTCTATAATAAAAACTCGACTTCGATTACTTTACAAAAAAATGGATTTTCTGACGGGGGGGGGGGGATGCTTTAAGATACACAATCAGTGATCATGCGGCTTTGTTACTAGTTCTGTAAATATTTACGTAAATTTCGAATCAGACGTCGAAACGGGAAGAATCTTTTGTTGCCCGTCTCGTTTCACCCAGATTCAGGCTTGCAATATGGTATACAATTTGCTCTAAGCTTGTATTTAGCAGTACACTGGAAAGAAATTAATTATATAAAATGATGCTTGCATGGACATTAGATTTTAACAGTGGTTATTTTAACAGTGGTTATTTTATCAGTAGGGTGACCAAAACCTTTAAAAAATAATAGAAGTTTTTTTGTTCAGTTGTAATCAAGATAAATATTGACCTCTTAGAACTATTTATCTAATCGATTATACATTAAAAGAAATCCAAATCTCAATAATATGCGTTCGTAAGAGAATAGATACTACTTTTATACTATACGTCTATAACCTATATTAATTGTAATAGATCACAGACATGAAATTTTTCTTTAATAGTCTACAATGTTCTTCTTGCTTAACACTGTTCTCTGTTGTCGTTGTTCAACTTAATCATCTCAGTCGAAAGTTTTGCTTTTGAATGATTCTATTCCTTTCATGACTATTTTTCATCGAGATTGATTTTAGGAGACGACATGAAGATGTAAATTAAGACCATAATATCCTTTAAAAACAATTTCCCAAAACATGAGTCTTGAGGTAATCGTACAGAGATTTCAGCTAAAGTGTTATCTGACGATATTTATTAAAAAATTATCAGCTTTAAAGCATTCCGTAATGATTTACGAATAGTTTCTGAAGTCGTCTACGTTCATAATTAGGGCATATGAAAAGTAGTGAAAGTGACACTAACAACGTATAGTAAACTTAAAGAAACTTTCTTTCTATGTAGTCTGATAGAGAAAAAAANTCCTTTAGTACAGGCCTTGAGACCTAAGCCTATCCTTATAGTATAGCACTTGAGGACCTGAAGCTATACTTATAGTATAGGTCTTGAGGACCTAAGGGTATCCTTGTAGTACAAACCTTGAGACCTAAGGCTATCCTTATAGTATAGCTCTTGAGGACCCCAGTATCCCCACTAGGATAGCCATATGAGGACCCAAGTACACTAGCTGGGGTAGCTAGACGAGGACCCAAGAACTGGGCATGGTCGTTTCTTACCTATGGCACAAGCACTTTAACTTTTAAAGTAAAGTTAAAGTGCCACCCCTACGAGAAACCATCAAGACCCAGTGAAAATCTTCAACAAATTTCTATAATAAAAGCAGAAAACTAAATAAAATAGATCAGCCCATCTACCGGTTCGATCTCTGCTGTGATGGGGACTGAGCTTTTTCTGCCATGGTCTGCGGTGGAGGAGGAGAGGGTGCCCAAAATTCTGCCATATACATTTTAACACTGGTTTCAGATCGTTTTCCACGCGAAGCTCGATAACAAACTTCATTGAAAAATGGCATCTTCTACTAGCTACGAACCTGTTATTGATCGAGCTGCGTTCGAAGCCTATACGCAACTCCGAGCAATTGCCAAGAAATACAATGTCGAAGACAAACTCGAGGTACCTCAATTGGTTCTTGTCGGCGAAACGTCAACCGGCAAATCGATGCTCGTTCAAAATTTTCTCCGATTTCCATGTTCATTCTCTCAGACTGGAGTTGCAACACGTTGTCCAGTGGCTTATCGACTTGTCTACAATCCGACGTTACCAATCGGCGAGCTTCGTATTATTCGACCAGCCGGTATTACTCCCCCTCAGCTAGCAAATTATTTACAAAAGTTAATGAAACGTATTCAAGAAGAATGTTCTGCTACGGGTGGTTTTCGATTAGAACCCGAGTGGATCGAGATCGAAAGTGCTGAATATACAGATTTCGAAATTCTTGATCTACCCGGTCTAGTTGGTGGTGATAAAGTGGCCGAGAATCGACAAGCAGTAGAGAAAATAGCGGAATCATTCGTACGTAATCCTCGATTCTCGATTGTTCTATTGAAAGAGACTACACAAATCACTGATAATAGTCATGGAGCACGTGTAATTGATGAACTCTGTAATAAACAAAAAGGTTCTGATTCCTCGTTACTACCACGACCCGATTACCATAAAAATATGATCACTATCCATACAAAATTTGACTCTTTTATGTTAAACTTTACCAATGGAACTGCAGCAAATAACGAAATATCAAAGCAGCTGAACGATTTCGGTCCTTCTTTCTTCACCAATATGATTTTTGATGGATATTCAATGGCAGAACGATCGTTCGATGATAATGTTGCCTATCTGCGTGATTTATCGCGTCGAGAACAACAAGAAGTAAACACTTGGATTGAGAAAATGAATCAAAAGAGTGGTCAATCACTGGATAATTATCAATGTTTCGATGAGAAATATCATAAACTTATTGGTATCGATGTTGTACGAAATCAGATTCAATCACTGTGGCTTAAAGTAAATCGCTCGCTTGTCATTTTAAATTTTTACACGAAAGTTTTTTCTTTTAAATTCAACCGAATTTCTATTCATGTGTTCTAGTCATTTCGTTCTGCTCTACCGAAGCTAAGAGAAAAAGTTCAAGATGAACTTGACAAAGCTCGATGTCAATACAATGAAAATCAAGAACGATACAAACTACTCAATCCCCGCTTTCTTCGAGATACTTATAGAAACTATATCCATGATTTTCATAAGATTCTTTGTCAATATTCAAGTTACAAATCGGAAATCGATTTTATTTTTCCTCTCGATCAATGTGGTCAGACATACGAGGAGATCGAAACTGCTTATAATGAATGGAGTCGCAAGAAGACAGTCACTTGGCGGGCATATTTAAGCGTAAACGACTTAAAACAAAAATTTCCCGATGAAGATGGCAATATCAATGCACGTTATGTTGGTTGTCGTCATTTTGTACGACTTCACAATCTCTTTTCGTACATGATTCTAAATTTTAAACCACGAGAACCAACTCGAGATTGGATTGAATCAGCGTCTTCACTTTTAGCTGCGGGTACAACAGACTTTGATGATTTAGAAAAAGCAGTTCGAGATATTCTTCGCACTCTCTTACGTGAAACTACTCTGATGGGTATTTGTTGGCTGACACAAATGTATTCCTTTCTATTGGACATGTTTAGAATCCATGTTAAATATTATCTTCTTAGCGATCAGAAGTATCCAATGTTGCGCGATCACAATATCTTTCTGAATGCAGTCGATCTCGAATATCATATCATTGTACGTACGATGATTCGTGATGCCATTCGTCTCATTCGTGATTATCGTCAATCAGCTAGTGCTTATGCACATTATGATATCATGAAGCGTATGTCGAAATTGATGTTTTCAATTCCACGAGAGATTGAACATGAGGCATTCAATCAACCAGTTGATGGTATTTTTGTAAGAAATTCATCAAACAATACATACACGACGGCTAGTTTAGCCGATATTTTCAAAGCAATTCCACCACATAAACTTCTCGAGCAAATTTATGGGTCTGAATCATTTTTGACAAGCAAGCGAGATCCATACTCATGTAGTCATCATGCAAATGCAAGACGGACAATTAAAGAACTCTACACAGCAAGTTGTGGTAGACTTTTAGAAGAAATTCGATCGAGTTTTAATACGTATGTCGTAATGAGAATTCATAATTTTGATCGATTCAGTGTAGAACGACATTCAGATAATCCAAATAGGATTCCTCTCTCTCGACGCATTGATTTTATGACGGAACAACAAATTTCTGAGATGTCAAATTTTGGTTTCGACGAGATCAACGAGGCGTGTCATGCATCGATTGAAAAGATTCAAGCCCTGAACGAAGCTCTATTGTTCATCAATAGCGCCATAAATGAAATGAATAGTGTTCAGCGGGTTCAAAGTGAACAACGTCAAACTCGTATGGAAAAAGTCAATCTTAAAAGCACGAAATATGCAGAATACATGCGTAAGAAACAAGAAGCGGTCGAAAATCGTCATCAACGACGATATCTTTCCCAAAGCTCTCATAATCGTTCAGTTGATGAATCCAACGAAACCTCAAGTGATTACACACTCGATGACGAACGAATGTTAATGACTTATCGTGATGCAGAATCGGCCAGTGAATTTCTACGTGAGATCTACGATAAACACGATAAGGAAGATTTAAAATATGGATTTCTTGAGAATGATCCAGAGAATCAAGATACAAATCAGTCGCATATACATGATAATTTCCGTGTCGATCCGAATTCAATGAACTATGAAGAGATTTCGTTACCTTCTACTAGTATGTTGATTTTCGTGTAGTTTTTTCTTGTCTAACTTTCTAACTTATTTAGGCAACAAGAGTAATTCTTTCCCAACAACTACAAACGATGATTCTTTGGTTGCAGCGTCCGCTTATGATGAACAAAATAAATTGAAACCTCTACCGGTATCGCCAAACCCAATTGTTCTACCCTCTATTCAGCCTAACATATCGATCAATGACGAAATAGATTGTATGAAAAAGCGACATCGTGTTCAATTAGGAAAACGATAATTAGTAAAGTACTATGAATGAGACGCAAACTAGAAAGTTATATCTTGTTTTAACTATTGAGCACTTCAGTAAAACTCTAGATACAAACTCAATTATCACACAGTTTTGTTGCTTATTATAAAAATATTCATCTAAATTTAGAATTAGAAACCAACATAGTGCGATTTTTTTAATTTTCCGTCTCATTTCACCCAAACTCAATCTTTCTGTGATTTATAAAACTGGTTGTAAGCTTAGTCCACATGATTCATTTGATCGTACGCTGACAAGAAATGATTCATATACATAATGCTCATATCACTATCAGATTTTAACAGTGCTTATTATATCAATAGGACGCCTAAAGCCATTAAAAAGTAATGAATTTTTTGTTTTGTCAGTTGTAATCAAATATTGAGCATTTAGAAATCACGCCTGAAAATAGTTGCTGCCAATTTAAACCTAAACTATTATCAAACCATTCATTCATTAGACTTTATCTCAATTGAAATCTATGCCATGATAATATGCGTTATTAAGATACTTTATGCTAGTTTTATGTCATCCGTATAGTTTTTCTAATACATCACACCAATACACTTTCTGTTCCTACGTGCTTGAACACCGTTCACTTTTTGTCATTGTTTTAAATATATTCATCTTAATTGAAAGAGTATTTTTATAGAGACTAATTATTGGAGACCGCTTGAAGACAAGAAATAAGATCATAATCACTCCTTAAGTAAAATTTTTTTCTAAAACATGGTTCGGAATGTAATCGTAAACGGATGTCAGCTAAAATGCCATTTGATAATATTCACGAGAAGAATGATCAGTTTTTAATTGACGTGCGAATAGTGTGTAGAACTTCCTTCGATCATAATACTAAGAGAATCGAGAGGAAAGTTATCCGAAAAAGTTTGAGTGCCAGCAAATTTTATCATTTATAGGTATAGTCAGAAACACACCTCTGAAAGTTATTTTAGCAATTAAAATGTGATATTGATTTATTCTATATTGATATTTAATGAGAATTAGTCGAAATACACGTTAAAAGTGCTATGATTTTATTGAAGCGAGCTCCTTGTTCATGGCGGCAAAACTTTTTTCTTACTATATCTGTTCTATCAAAATGCTGCTTATCGAGACGATGACGAACTTGTTGAGAACTTGATGATTTACATCTAACACTTCTACGTGGATATGCACGGTATAAAAATTTAGGGCAGAGAACCTTTGGAAAATCATCTTCACCTCGCTTCACCTCCCGCTGCCCAGAAAAGAAGAGTTTCCAATTTGCAGTCGCATCCTAGTTGCGCCTTTATTCTATATTCTCATGAATTTCAAAGTGATCTTAATCCTATATGGATTTGTTTTTCTTTCAAATTCTATATTAAGCTTGGAAGTCTAGTTATTGTCCTTTAACGCGAATAGGTGCACTACGCGCTTGATCGAGGAAAACAGTGTTTAAATGATTTTTCCATGAAAATATGAATTCCACTAAAAACAACAGTTATTTTTTCATCTAGACGACAGCGTATCGGACCTAACAGAATCCATATTCATGAGCTCAAACGAAGTACAAGATCTTACAACGGCATGTGACGGTCGACATGGACGGTTATCAAAAAATAAAAAACAAGTCACAAAAAATCGTTTATTTTTCTTTAAGAAAACGACTTAATCTTTTTTTCTTTGTGTAATCCAGTGTCATATTTCTAACAAAGAATCTTAGAAAAAAATAAACAGTGACCGAATAATTTCTCTGAATTCTTATGATACCAAGCATTGTTGCACATGAAAAGTTGAAGAGGCATGCGACTTGTGTTTGCCGTGAACACATGCGAAAAGTTTTCGTTTAGTGACTTATGAGCCAGTCCATGTAAGCCACGACCTAACTTGCTCAATCGAGGTCGTCCGATTTTGCTCAATTTAATATATCTTTTAGAGGTAAGAGTTCTAAAAATTTTGACGCAAGCCGTTTGGAAAAATATTGTTCCGTTGCTGAGATATTTAGACTTTTCTGAGGATACTATCGTCAAAGAAGCCCATTTTTGGTGATTTTTTGTGACGTCAATATCTCGTCAAGGATATATGCGATTCACCTGAAAATTTTACTGTAAGTAGGTATCATGGTTCTGTGTCACCTCAAAAACGATGGAGCTTAAATAGATGTGGGTGTGAGTGAAGAAGAGATCAACACCCCAACTCACCCACCAACCCACACCCACACACTTTTGTTTTGTTTTGAAGCAAAACAAAAATTAAAGAAATTTTATAACTCTGATACTGTGGCGCCAATTACAGAATCTGTTGTCTATCTAACAGAAGAAGCATCATTAGAAGAAATAACTTTATTTACGAGAACTTTTGGTCAAGAAACTGATTTTGTATGTCACGATCCAACTGTTGCAACAAATGGTGGTCCACATGTTATTCAAACATTTTTGTCAGAAGAATTTTCAGAAGAAAAGCAAATAAAATGTACAATTGCAAGACAAGATGATCAGGGATTTTATAGCATGTTTCTACTTGATCGTGGACGTGAGAAATTTCACATAGAAAAAGTACATATTGAAGACGTTAAAAAGGTAAAAGATTACTAAGTCGTATTAGTGGTACTTTTACTGATGCCCTTAAAAGTAAAAAAAACATATGAAACAATCTATGATTTTCTCCATGATACACGTACCTATTTATTTAAAACTCAATATGAAGCAATTATGAAATCTGTTGAACAAGCGCAAAAGAAAAACATGAGATTT